TATGGATTTATAGGCAGAAGCAGTGCTACATTGTAGTGATATGTCATTTTTTTACTGGTAGAAAAGATCTAAAAAAAAATGTTGACAATGGCCAATAACATTCGTTAATTTTTCATCAACTTTTGTAGAATCTAAAATAAGTATTTCAATTCTAATCGTTCAATATTATAATTCATCCTGTATGTATAAAAATCTCATCTGACAGGAGAAAATTGTTAATGAAAGAAAGGAAGAAATTAATTTAAAAAAAAAATTAATATTGAAACTATTTTTTGAACTAGAGACAATCACAAGTTGAGTAATGTTTGTTTTAATTGCTCACTTTCTCATTTAGGTTCTTTTCGGGAATTGGAGTATAGGAATATATACCTACATTATTCACTGACAATGGAAGTCCGAACTAATGAAACTTGCCATAAAACATTGTCAACCACCTTCAAATAAACATTATACACTGTTAAGTGTATAAAGGTACCCTGTTAAATAAATTGCTTTGCTAGTATAACTAGTTACACTGGTTTATTGATATATACTGCAAATTGGTCCCTCGGAAACCCATTCAAACTAAGTATTCTCAACAGAGCTCAAATTTGATTTGGTCTACAGTATGGATCCATATGTAAATGGAATAACCAAGCGAGACAACTGTCTTATATGTAATAGACCATATTGCAATGATAATGGTCGAATGTACAAATTGTATTAAATTGTTTATGCTTGAGGCTTAAGGAAGCTATTGTATAGCGAAACATGTGTTGCGGTTTTTGTAAAACCCTTTATAGTGGAAATCATACAACAAACTGTATTAATTAGTTTTTTAATTAATGAAATGGTTTCGCTACGAATGTATATCAAGGTGGCAATGGCTGTAAGGTTAGATCAGCAGAACTGTCAAAAACAAAATGGCAGAATTTTTCCTTCTATCTTAGTAAGACAACAAATCAGAAGCTTCACTGGAGGCTTCTAAGCCTTTGCAAAGCATGAAAATGTACAAAAAGTAGATCGAGTAAGAGTAGCAGACGTAATTTGATATACTGTGTCCAGTATTTTACTGAGTAGGGATAGACGCAAGTAATTTGTTGAGCAAAATGGGTCCGAAACCAACCAGCATTGTGAGTATTCCGATCAGGAGTTTTCAGAGCAATACTTTTAATTAGATTCGAACAATAAATATCGCCAGATAATATTTTTTTCACAGGCTATCCTTCTAAGCAAAAGTGATTGTATATTGAGTTCTTTTTTAATGTCGACATAATGATAATCATTACTAGCAAAACCCAATTTGAAAGCACAGTGTTTTGAAAACTTCTATTCAATACATTCAATCTCCCAAATGTAACAACTGTGAAGCGATGACCAAATAATAACAAAAACTCCAGTGATATTTAAAAAAAAATGTTCAAACAAAATGTACTCACTTGAGAAAACTGCCCACAAATGACTCTTCCAATTTGAGCTGATTCAAGCAGTTTGTAACCATATCCCTAGCCAATTTAAGGTCGTTATGTATCCCCTCTTCAGTAAATCGATTCCCTATCAGCTCCAAAAACGGATAGATTAGACATCCAGAACTGTTTAGAAGGTGCAACTCTTTTGGCAACCACTCTCTTTCAGACAAATTCCCTACAGCACTTGGAGGTATCTGCTTGTAGTGTTTTTGTGCTTGATAAATAATCACCAGAATCAAACAAGCCTCAGATTTAAGTCCGTTAACTTTGATCTCAGATATTTTCTCAACAAACTTATCCAAGAGCTTAGCTGATAATGTTGTTTTTGTCACCAGCATTGAGGTTACTACATAAGAAACGGCACAGAAGTCTGCTATTGGAGAATTCAACCCTTTCAACAATAGGGGCAGCATTTGAGATACCTGGTCCTCGGTGATTGTATCGGAGTACTCCAAGGCCCCAAGAAAAACCGTGCAGGCGAAATTGAAAGCAACGGTGAGCAAGTTCGGCTTGTCGTGGTGTTTCAATAGCTGTGTAATATATTTGGAAACGAATTTCAGGAAACCGCTATTGCTGGCTGCATGATTCAATAAGCTCTGTTTAGGTAAATGAGCTCCTGTTTTTTGAAGGGCTTTCAGGAAGTAGAAGCTGTCTCTAGAATCCTTGATCTTCACAAGTTGGATAAGCCGGACAAAAATGTTGGATTCGTGATAAGGCAAACACAGCATCAACAAGTCTTCTCTGTTGTACTCGTGTATAGAGTATCTATTTATCATCCACTCCAAGGCTTTGTGTGAGCAGTTCAGTAAAAAGTAAGGAGATAACAGACATAAGAACTTACGAATGTGCTTGTCTAGTTTCTCGTTGGCTTCGGCAGTCTGTACGGACCTCTCAAAGTCCTTGGCAGTTAAATGAAACAAGGAGTCATGAAATTGTTGAAACACCTCATTTTTCTGAATGAGCTCTTCCAGACCTTCTAATCCTATCTGGTAAACGGTTTCCCTTTTGAGTCCCGCTGCTTCCTTAGGGTCGAATAATAGCGAAGCGCGTTTTTTATCTCTCTTTATTGCAGTTGTTTGGGGGAGAGCTAAATTCTGCAGTTGCTCTGCCAAAGAGGTACTCATTCTGATAATTCTTCCCTATAACTTCCTGTCCAAATCTAAAAATTGAATTATTATTCCGCTGCAATGTTCTGGAATAAATCATTTACCATATACTCTACTCTACAGAGTTTCCAATGCCTTAAAAAAGTAGCAAAACTACTAGCACCATGTTATTCTGAAACTCAATCATTAAATTAGGTTATGTTCTGACTACATAAACATAACCGCTACATTACCACATGCACAGTAAAGATAATGTAATGCCAACTGACGTCTCTCAAATCGACACTAAACTACAAAACCAGGGTTGCCACACGATAATTTGTGTGCACTGAAACAGTATCAAATAAAAATAGTCAAACATTTTGATGACTATGTCAGCATTTCAGAACTTGTTTTCACCTAACAACTTTTAATAATCTATAATGCCTCATCATCTGAATAAACATTACATTTTGGTACGTTCATGTAATTATCACATTAATAAAATGATTTAGGTCTACGTTTCAGGCAACTTGGACAAGTCTTCACCCAAAAAATTTAGGGATGAAATGGACGCTGTGCAGTAGAAATAAATTTGAGGCGAAAGTAATGAAACTCATTAAACTGATAAATCTGAAAAAGTCGATGATATTCAAATGGGGTTCACAGTATTTTCTTTCACCACTTTCATATCGTGAAAAAAATGATTTGTTGATTTTTTGTGTGCACTGAAACAGTATCAAATAAAAATAGTCAAACATTTTGATGACTATGTCAGCATTTCAGAACTTGTTTTCACCTAACAACTTTTAATAATCTATAATGCCTCATCATCTGAATAAACATTACATTTTGGTACGTTCATGTAATTATCACATTAATAAAATGATTTAGGTCTACGTTTCAGGCAACTTGGACAGGTCTTCACCCAAAAAATATAGGGATGAAATGGACGCTGTGCAGTAGAAATTAATTTGAGGCGAAAGTAATGAAACCCATTAAACTGATAAATCTGAAAAAGTCGATGATATTCAAATGGGGTTCACAGTATTTTCTTTCACCACTTTCATATCGTGAAAAAAATGATTTGTTGATTATTGGATCGAATTAGATAATAGATTAGCAGTTAACCAAATTCCGTTTGAGTTGAACTTGGAAAAAGTTCATAAATCAGAATGACACTAAAAAAATTTTGAACTATAAACGAATATCAAATACAATAAATAATCATCATGTGACTACAAAAAAAATGTATGTTTTTTTTTCACGTACCTGATTCAAAGCAAGAATTATGTGCAACAGGCAACATGTAGAAATGAGTAAACATAATAATATTATGAATAACGGTGAACGGTGGCGAACCAATACCTAATAGTATACTATATAGCTAGTTGAAATAATATTTTATGTATCAGATTTACCAGAATTTTGTGATGCACTGTTTGGAACCTTTGGTGTAGTAATGAATATTACTGGAGTTTTTTCCCAACACCAGACCAATAGTTTGACCAAGTGATCACCTTCAAGATGAAGATGATCACTTGGTGATCGAAACACGTGTCGAGGTGTTAAAATAACGGTTAGGTGTGGGGAAAAAACTTCAGTAATATTCAAGATTTACTATTAGATGAGGCAACATTGTAAAATTAATTTAAGATAATTAAAACACAGGGTACCCTGCAGAGGTAGGGTATAAAAATAAGGACAACCTTTTTAAGGCGCTCTAAGAGCAGTGCCTGTGCGAAAGTAGTGATTCATTGGATTTGAATCGCTCCAAATGAAATATTTCTTAAACAATGAAGTTCGAGGTGTACTGAGTTGAACCTCAAAACTATGAGCAGTCACAGTCCGTCGCGTATTTCTGATATGTACCGCTCTTGGTGTAATCAAATGTGCCAAGTCACTTGAACACTTCCCGTGAAAGTATGTATAGAAAAGATACAAATCTCCAACTTTTCTTCGATGTTCCAGACTATCAAGGTTTTAAGTGATGTTCGCGTCTCCAATCAGGGGGATGGCTCTTTTCTGGATGGAATCCAGCAGCTTCAGGGTATGCTTAGAGGCGGAGCTTCAAACATGAAAACAATACTCCAAAGAAGGTCTGATCTGAGTTTTATAAATCATCAAAAGTTCCAGAGGTGTGTACAGTTGTCGAAAGTACTTCTAGATCCTCATTATGGGTGGTTATTGAAATTTACGATCAATTCTGATTCTGAATGTTTTTAAGAGACAGGTGTTTGGAAAAACTTCTTGCACTGTTTGGGATGTTTGAGGACAACATCGGTCATTTGAAAGAATAAAAAAGACAGACTACTCTTTCTTGGATTAGTGCCATCAAAACGCAACTAGAAGCAAAAATATGATTTAATTTTGACAGCAGGACTCTGACACTGACAGTTGAATTTTTTTGTATAGGTAAATATTGTGAATCAGAGAAACTGAAACATTATACATATAATTGTTCTTGAGCAGGAAGAATCATACAACATGTAAGTAAAATTTCACAATGCAACAGTTTACCTTTTAGCCTACTCTATACCAGCGTTTCATGAGCTAACTCCCAGTTATTTTATAGATTTTCCAAATGGAAGATGATGATCATGATGATCTATTGCAATGCACTGATGATGAATCCCTTTCTGAAACTGAGGATCAGTGTCTTCCAATCGACAAGCCAGAGGAAACTTACAGGAACACGTTCAATTATTTTAGTCACTCCAAATTTGAATTCATAATTACAAAGTTAACATTAATTTATGCTTCAACTTCGATGTTGATTGTGTTGCCTCTTTATTTAGACGATGTTAATATCAGTGGCAATGCTTATTCGATGATTTTCACAAGCACCTCTTTGTCTTTGGTGGTTTTTGTAATGATGGCTGTTGTCAAGTGTCTATGCCAGAAATATAGAATTATCAATATATTGAGTCTTCCAGTGAGATTTTCCAGACTCATGCAGATAACTGTGGTGTATTTCCTCGCAGCTTTCATGATAATTTATGCCTTGGATAGAAAAAGAGTTATTTGTCACTTGCAAGACCCAATAAAAGGAATTGTGTTGGTGTTTTCGCTGCTGTATTATTTTTTCTTCTGCAGAAAACGTAAGTAGTCTCTTCAAAGTATCATACAAATATCATAAATGGAGAAAGGTATTGATAGGTTGGTAGGTATTGATACCTAAAAACTCATCACAGTACCATCAGTATTTTCAAAACTTTTTGAACAGACTTTCAAACTAATTCAATGTATATTTAGAAAAAAATCAGATAATATGTTAAAAGAGTACAATAACTTTTGCCTAACTCCAAAACAAATATTGCTCTCACATACCAGAACTGCCAGATCAGATACCAATATCAATAAGATAAAAATAGAATTAGAGTTCCCTGCACTCACTTCAATAATAGAAGTTCAACATGGATATGAGAATGTATGATATTCATTTAACAGTATACCTTTGTAATTCTTTCAGTTACATACAGTACTCAGGGATCAATGCAATGATACACTCAACTCATTTCATCTCAATACTGAAAACGTGCAATTTCTTCAATTCCAAAATATTCATAAAGTATGTCCTGGACACAATTTGGAAGTTTCCAATAGTCGAGTTCACTCGCCCGTATCTTGGTATACATTTTGATAGTACTCTAGATTGAAATACTTACTGTGATAAGCTCGTTAATACTCTAAATTCATAGAATTATTTGCTTAAAAATTTATAAAATATCTCAATAGAAGGTACCTGCCACACAATATATTATTTTCTAAAAAAATGTCCTCAGAACCATATCTCAGACAAACACAGCTACATAGAATTATACAAGTCATTGAATTTGCTGGCTTTTTCTTACTTACGAAGTATGAACTATATATTCAAAAAAGGGATTTCAATAAAATGTCTTCAATTTGCAGAAACTGAAGATGTACCTACCTCGTAGCAAAATGTATGTACACCATAGCACAATCAATTTTTTAATATGTAATTATGTTTTATATTGTAAAATCATGTTTATGTTTATATGTATGTACCTCAATGACTGCTGAAAATTGTAATGTTTCTGTTCTGTTTAATTTATTGATTAATTGTTTACAGTAATGGGTCTTCAAAGAATATTCTCTACAACTACCATAATCGTAGGTTTGTTCATCGCTGTCGATTATGGGCTCTGCGATGAATTCAGGTGTAGAGGTTATGAACGTGAAAGAGTATCAGAAGATGCAGGTCCTTGGAATTGGCAGACTCATGCTATCTGGACCACTGTATACATTGCAGGCCTGGCATTGTTTGCAGCATACTTTTCTCTCTTAGACAGATATATTTTGACGAATATTGAAATGGTAATTGATTTAGTAAAATAAGTTTTCAGGCAAGAAAATTCATATATGGGCAATTGCCAAAATAGATTGAAAAATCTTGATTACAAATGAAATATGACAATGTGGTAAACATTATCACAAGCGATAACATAACTGTTTTGTTGCCGTGTTGCTCTACTTACCCAGTACATACTATATTATTCGGGGTTCCAGTCTCAAATTTCATTTCACCTGCGGTGGCTTCATTATTATTTGTTAGGTTATTCAGCTTGAGAATCAGACTTCATTTATGTTGATTCCATCTTCACTACTCTTGAAATAGAATAGGCAATACAAATTCAAAAACGCAGAAACAGTTTTTATCGAGATGAAGAAGGAATTAACATAAATCAAATCTGGCTACCCTCAGTAAACAATACATGAATTAAGGCCACACCCACCCTCGATAGAATAAGAATTGAGACCAAAACCCCTAACAATGCAGTATGTTATAAGAACATAGGCTTTCACGACCAGAGTTATGATTGAAGAGAACAAAATCTAGGCTAGTAAGCTGTGGTTGAATTGAACATGAAGTACCAAACTTTTCGTCTGCTGGTGTGGCAAAAATATCATCAGTGGTATGTGTCTTTACTGAGAGGATAAAAGTTATATTTTGAAGTCTCAGTAACGAACCACAATGCATTATGGTCTGTGAGGACAACTGCAAAATGTAGCAGTTGACTCCTTTTGCATTTTTTCAATTTTTAAACAAATCAACAATTATTAATTGTTGTTTACTGAACAATCAAATCTTCTTTTTATGTTAATTTCAGGGGTACAACAATATTGTAATTCCTTCGACTTTTCTCAGTACAGTTTCCAGATCTGTATCATTCCCCAATACTAATGCTACTTCAACTCCTCGTTTCGTTGGAAATGGGCCCTCAGAAAGTTCAACTTGCTCTAAGAAATGTTGCGTAATACATTTAGCTATGTGGATGCATATTATTGGACTAATTTTCATTATATTGATGTTCTGGACAGATTTAATTCCAGAAATTGGAAAGGTAAGTCAGAATTCGTTATATAAATTGAAAAGTGAAGACGAGAAATTCGTTTTTTTTTTAAGAAAAAGCTTTTTGACTTTTCTCTTTTCCATCATCAAACAAAAAATAGTTTACGATTTTTTGTTTTTTTTGTATTGTTTGATAATGGTGAAGTAGAAAACCAAAAAGCTTTTTTTCACAAGAANTGGTTACATATTATTTGGACTGACTTTTATAATATGGTTACATGTAGTTATTTACATTTATATGTTTTTACATTTACTTTTACTTTTATAATTGACGTTTTCTTTGTTTATTGTGCATTAATTTCTATCAACTGTACTTTTCAACCAAAGAAATAAATATTATTATTATTACTACTATTAGAATCATGTAAGACAATGGAAGTCCAAACTAGTAAAATTCACCATGAAATATTGTCAACCACTTTTAATGCAATTATAGTAATAGCACTGTAGTTTATCAATTTGAAAATTAATCCTGTTTCTTGTTGTTTTTCGGGTATTTAAACACAATCTGAAAAATCAAAAAGCTAAATCGATCGAGAATCTATTGAAGTGTAATAAAGGACAAACTGAAAATTTCATCTAAAAAAGTTACTGCATAATATAAACCGCTGAGGAGCCTTATTAGTCAGTAACTTTTCGTATTCACAAATGTTGCATATAAATAAAATAAATAATCAAAAAAATGAAATTTCAATACTTATTCATTCCATTCACAGGCCAAATTTGTTAAAGCCACAGATAGTGACTAATTGAGGTCTTCAGTGGTTTAAACCATGCAGTAACTTTTTTGCTTATTTATGAAAGCAAGAAAGTGTATGCTCATATCTGCCAGTGGATATGTGTTTGCAGATTTTTGAATCTTAGTCTGAAATTTTTTGATTAATTGATTTTAGGGATCAAACGCAACTGAATTCTGGAACTACACCCTCACTGGTTTCGTGTGCCATTTTGAAAAACCGCACACTCTGAACGTAAACGGACAGTCACAGTGTGGCAATGTTCTCATCTTCTCCTGGATATTCTTGGTCTCCTACATACTCTTCGTGGTGTCATCTATGAAGTTCTTGATATTGTCTCAGTCAGCTGTTTATACTGTAGCTGTTATGTCGACGTCTCTCCCTCTGGTCAGCATTTGGTGGTCTCTTTTCCATGCCACGCCCCATGCCAGTGGTAAGTTAGATGCAAATGATATGAAGTGAGATTGTCACAGTTTTAATTCGGTTTTCAAAATGTCCACCTTTTGACAAAAAGGACATCATTCTTGGCTAATACTACGACAGGAATTCAACGTATTTTCATTACAAAGTACTCATGCAATTTTTTCAAATCTAAACTACATAAGAATTAACTGATCTTTTGCTATCATGCATAAAACGGTGATCTGAAACGAATATTGACTTGAGAATACCAAATTTGAGATTTCGACTTTTTGTATATCTAGTAAATTTTCAAGTAGGCGTTCAAAGTATTTTGTTTAAACAAAAATTAGAACTCCCCCTTAAAATATAGGTCATAAGAGTTTTTTTCAAACTTTTAAAAAGAACATAATTCATTTATTTAGTCCAGAAAGTTTAAAAAATTACACTTATTTCATTCTCAATGAAGAAAACAGAATATTTTGTAACACTTGTTTTCTCAAGTTCTCCAGACGTGTAACGTCTGTAATGGTAAAAATAATAAACCATATATGTCCCATATCAATTGTGTATATAAGAAGTTTATATCCTCAATATACAGAGTGGGATATGGAAAATGTACTACAAGGTATATTTGCCAGAGAGAAAACTTTTCCCAAAAGTTTGTTCGAGAGGGAAACAAGTTTCGATCCAAAAACCATTGCAAATCCCTCAACCCTTTAAAGAGGCATGTCATCCCCTGAATTTTTTCAATGGAAAAGAAAATTGGGTGATATCTTATTGAAAAGGTTGACAATATCAACTCGTTCAGTTTGGGAGAAAATTCAAGGAAGCCGCATACATGTTGTCCAACAACGTATTCAGCCAAGCCAGCGTAGAAAAACGCAACATATGGAAACCCATCATCAAGCGAAAAATGGCCAATTCCCGCCAAAACGGTCATCTCCCACGGAACCAGTGAAGCGGAAAATGGAAAGCAGGGATAAGTGAAAGTATTTGAACGACCTATAAATAGTAATCTCTCGGAGGAATCAGTCCAGTTATCACCTGAAGACGATTGTAGATACTAACAATCGAAACGTCGTGAACTAACGTGACTTGGAATCTCTACACTTTTTATTTTTATTTTCTTTTTTCATTCCTTTATTTTCATTTTGTTTTTAATTTGTTTTTATTCATTCAGTTGTTCTATTTTTACTTGTAGTTTAGTTCACTATTATTTCATTTCAGGTTTATTTTGCTTAATATAATTGAAATTTTAATATAATTGAAATTTTCAGCCATTCATTTTCATTTTATTCCTTCTTTCACAGATTTCAAATCAGGCGATGATTGTGATATAAAGCAGGGAGTTCCCCAGGGTTCGAATTTAGACCCTTTTTCTTTCTTGTTATTTGATAATGATCTAATTACGTTCATCAGTAAAACAAACTCTGTATTCGTTACAAGTTATGCTGACGATACAATATTTTGATTGTTGAAGACAACATGGAGGCACTCCATAAAACTGCTGAGGATATATATGATAAAATCATATTGTGGGCTGAAAAGAACAATTTGAAACTCAACAAATCTAAAACTAACACCATATTGTTCAGCAGACGTGGTCAAAGGGATTCGAATGTGATACTATATGAAAATAGTGAAAAATCAATTAGTCCTGTAGAAACTGTAAATATGCTAGGAGTTGTTCTAGATAAAAAATTAATATGGAATCAACATATTGATACGTTACGTAATAAACTGAAGAAAAGCTGCTATTCTATTAGATTCATGTCAAATCACAGCAGCTCTAGTATAATACTCTTAACATTGTACCATGCTAACTTCCATTCACACCTTCGATATGGCATTCTCAACTGGGGTATGAGTGCTTCTGTTAAAAGGATATTTCCCCTCCAGAAATATGCAGTTAGAATAATAGCTAAGCTAGGGTACCGTGATTCATGTACAGATGCTTCTAAAAATTCTTACAGTTGCCAGCACCTACATACTAGAGGCTAGTGCATACGTTTTCCAAAATAAATCCAATTTTCAGTCCTCTCTTCCAAATCATAACCACAATACTCGTTCGAAAGATCTAATCGTACCAAACGCTCATAGAACTTCTTTGTATGAAAAAAGCGTAGAGTACAGTGGGTGTAAATTATACAATATGCTTCCATTACCTCTTAAGAATTCCC